GGAAAGGAGGAAGGGGGAGGGGAGAGGGAGGGAAAGGAGGAAGGGGGACGGGAGATGGGGAAAGAGGCCGTGAGGGATGTTACAGAAATAGTAAAAGTTAAAAAACGCCGACACGATTTTAAGCGCAACAGCTGTGATGGCTGCGATGCACGGGCCGTATGGATGGTTAAATCCGTATTATATTATCATTATTATTATGATTATTATTAATATAATAATAATAATTATTATTATTATTATTATTATTATTCTCTAAGTAATACATAGATATATAGATATTATGTATTTATATGTATGAAATTATCATGTAGGCCTATTCGACAAACTTAGTGCGTACAGAATATCGATGTTTATATTAGATGGTTCTTTTTTTCGATGTGATGAAAAACGGTATCACGCACATACCGGTATAGAGACTAGGTCAAAGACGATATGAAATAAATATTTTTCATTTCGTCGATGACCTAGTAGCTTTAAATTCCAACATCAAGTATACATACTGGCGGCACAAGTAAAAAAAAACCGCATATAGTGCGGGTAATAAAGTAAAATATCCTTGGCCGCTCTCGCTCGATCGCTCGTTGCAACTCTTGGACTGTGGATCTAGGATGATTTTATTTTGCCTTGGCCACACCCGGCCTGCTACAGCGAGCTGCTGGTTCTGATATCAGGCATCAACTATCTATCACGTTGTCGGGGCACGCGCAGTGCGTGACCTATTTAATTTGTGGGTTATATTCCGGCTGATATACATGTAAGATGTACACACAAATGTACACACACAGACACACGCACGTACGCACGCACACACGTACACACACACACACACACACACACACACACACACACACACACACCACCACACACACACACACACACACACACACACACACACACACACACACACACACATAAGGCCCTATATATATATGCCAGGCAACTGTTCGGTGTGTGAGAGAGAAATATGCATGCTTCATAATAAATTATTATATTAGCACGGATTTCATTTGCTATACATAGAGCCATATAGAGATAGCGATCTCTATATATGGCTCTGACTTATAGCGGTTGTAACACACGGTGTGGCCCTCTATGGGCGAATCTCGAAGTCTAATGAATGTGATCTAGTGAGTATATATGGGAGCAAAAGGAGGATTTTCAGCAGTGATACGCCGGGTGGGGGTTGAAGGGACTTTCTCATGGAATATGCGCTGTTCGAAACTAGCGATATCAGAATTTGTTCTCAAGTTTTCCACTAGGCTCCGTGCGTACGTGTGCGTGCATACATGCGTGCGTACGTGAGTTCGTGCGCGCGCGCGCGCGTGTGTGTGTGTGTGCGTGTGCGTGTGCGTGTGCGTGTGCGTGTGC